TTGAGAATTTACCAATGCAAAAAGGTGTTAAATGAGACACAAGTGTTTTTTTTTCAAAATATCAATGAGATATGTTAGACTATCAGTTGAAAGCCTTACCTGGATTGAAACAATGCCCAAAAGATACCAGTATTGCGACTAGTGGTGTGTTCATCGGAATTGGCTGCCAAGTAAGCACCCTCTGCTGTCCAAAGTATCGCTGCACCGAAGCCTAATAACACAGAGGTAAGATAGAATGACCACATCATCGGTGATAGAAACGAAATAACATATAAGCTATAAATTATAGGAGTTAAATGCAGTACAATGACCGTGGTTGACGCTTACAAATAGGTACATGCACCAATGAACATGGATGCAGGAGCTCCAAAGATGAAGACAAAGGCAGGTGCCAAGATATTGGCTATCGTTGCACACGCGTAGACAATAGCGAGACTACATCATAAAGAATGTTTGAATTTATAGAACATCTCAATCATACTGATAATCTTGTTTCAAAAACGAAATGTTACCTGTAATTCTGAACGTTAGGAAAGAAAACGATCTTTTATATATAGTTGTTCAATGTTTAAAACGTCGCCATTATTATTTCTAAGCAAATTCTCAAAACTAGAACACATCATTTCATCTCGAAAATCAAGAGAAAAGTTTCGTTTCGTTCATGATGTTTTCCTTATAGAAGACAATTCAATGAAATCTGATATCAAACATAATTGTTTTGCCTAAAAAGACTTGTTTTCATATATGGCAGTGATTCAACGTAACAAAATATTTAACAGATATTCAATATTGGTGTACAAGGAACAAACACGCTTCTAGAAATTGAAAGCATGACATCTTATTTCATACAGCTATATAACATACTCATTTTAGAGCAGTCAAAGAGTGTCTTGTGTGATATATCTTACTGCTCACTCACCTAATGTAACCACTGCCTTGAAAATCAGTTCCATCGGTTGTTTCATTCTTGACACCTTCAAGTACACTTTGCTACTAGTTATTAAAAGGCATAAGTTTAAAAGTCGATATGTTCGATTGAATCTTACTTCGACTAAGCCGGTTGCCTGAAATGCCGTGAACAGGACCATGAAGGCTGAGCCAAGCAACAGAATATTCATTAAACTTGAACTCATTTCCTTGAGGTGCGCCAACTACCTCGGACAAAAGTGAAACCAGCAATTCTCAAAAAAGTTAAACACGTGAGCGAAGATAAGAAAATAACAAAACATAACATGTCTTATCGAATGTTGATTACCTGAGGGTGTTGGTGTAACTTTCATTCTTGTATAAAAGCAATATTTCAAAAGAAATCTAACAAGGCTGATTGTATTTAATGTGATAAAATATGAAAAACTTTTAAGAAAACTCAGCTTCATTGATAGACATACGAATCATCATCTAAGACCATTGTTCGCCTCTCAAAAATCGATCTCAGTTCCGATATATTCAAATCGCATGAAAGTTTCAGGATATGTTGGAACTGTATTGGAAAAGCTATGATCAAAAATTCTTGACTCTATACTATGATGTTTGAGTGAGATATTCATCAAGCAAGAGTCGCCAATAGCTGATCTGGCAATCCAATTTTTTCTGTCCAGACTCATTCTATATATTTGTTCTTTTTTGATTTATAACAAGGTCAATAGCTCAAAAACCGTCCGAAATGACGCTTTAATTATAAAAGTGTCAGTATATGTAATAAAGACAAAGCTTAATTAAAATACCAGAGTCTTGGGTGCTCTTCGTTTTGACACGCTCTTTCAAACGAAACAATTTTTCGGTTTTTTTCGAAAATAGTTTGTTTTTCGGATAAGAGATGAAGGAAATCTTGGAAAATTCTTAGAAAAAGCGAGGTGCCGACTTAAAACTGTTTGTGGTTTATGAAAGATCTGATTGCGCGCCATCTTCTTCTACATTTATCTTAATTTCGATCATTCTGACGAGGGTGTGGATGTGGATGTGATTATGAGGTTTTGATCCGTCCACATCTACATTCACATCCACACTCACATACTCTGTTTAGCTATTTTACATTTACACCTATAGCTTTGTCACTATACTCTCATACCTATGTTTTTACTTCTGTATCATCATAGCTATGTCCTAACTATATAATATACATATCACCCCGGAGTGGTTTTGAAGGGTAGGTGTTCGGTGAATAAAATTTTATTCACCGAACACCTACCCTTCAAAACCACTCCGGGGTGATATGTACTGTCATATCTGTACTTTGATACTCATTTTCTTATGTCTGTGTTGATACTCGTGAGCGAAATGAGCGAAAAAATCTCCATTCAGATTCGATTTGATACTTCTCAACCGAATCGAATCGTTCGACAATTCTATTTGGCTTTGGTCTCATGTTCCTATAGCTCTATTCTTAGACGTATGATTCATTAGATAGACTTTCTGAAACATTTTCGTGGTATAATTTAGTATTACTGGCAACGACAAATATTTCAAATATTAAAACTTATTAGATTAAGTAATTTTACAGTTTACCAAATACATACATAAACTTAATAAGCATTAAAACGGATTTTGGACTTTTTATTTTTGAAAATGGAAGCTCCTATTATATGAAATATTTTTTATATTTCCAACGTATTTCATGAGAAATGAAAGATGTTCAATGTAGAAGGTATTTGTGATTATGGGATGGATATTTTCCCACGTTCTTTATCAGAACCTACACCTACACCTACAGTCTAATAGATTTTAAAAAAATATTTTAGATAATTTATCAATACTATAATGCTGGCTTACTCTGATGCATTTAAGAGAGTAGATATAGAATGTGAATGAGGATGAAGCGATGACTTGCAACACCACCGATGCCCACATTCACCAAAATTCGTACTTTTCACTAAGTTTAGTGGATCATTTCCTGACATGTCTCTATCACACTTTATTTACTACGAAAATATCAAAAAGCAAGGCACTGATGGTGCAACTCTTGAAAGTCGATTGTCGTTTTCTCTGCAAAAAACACAAGAACATTTATAGTTATTCGTATCTTCATTGTATCTTCGTAATTCGATATGTTAAGGTGATACCCTTGATACCGACGCATGAGAAAGAGAAATCAAAACACTTGCAAAATGCAGAAATAGTCATTCATTCGTTTTTCAACTTCTTTCTCATAGTTCAAACATCATTTCAAGATGCATTTACGCAATGATCAAGATAAGTGTGCTATGATGGTCTTCTGTTTGATTATTTATTTATTTATTTTCTTTGTTTTACGAATTCTTTGTTCGAGTCGCATTATCCACTTCTCCCATTGTATGCATTACCAATATTGTCCAGCAAACAAGCCATGTCCCTATAGTTCGGATTGAGGTATTTCCATTTTCATCATCCACGAACATTGATAATATCTGAGGGCATTCGCAAACAATGTGAACCCGTAATATGCACTATCAATGGCGTGCAGTACAACAATGTTTTGCTGGAGCTCCGATAATGGTAATATTTTTTGCACATCTTTCAGGTTTGTTTCAAGAAGAGTTAAAGCTTCGAGATGATGCTTCTGATCATTAAGTGTCTCTCCACTTCAGATGGATAAGAAAAATCTTGAGGATATCAAACATCCTTAAGGATTTCCTTGACGTTAAACGAAAGCGAATTTGTACTCAATACATATTTTTTCGAACCATTATATTATGGAACGGTTATCGTTACACATTGAATGCAAAAATTCGCAAACTTTTTTGGATAATATTTTGCCAAAAATGATGAAAATATGACAGGACCTCTGTTTTTTCTTTCTTTCCCAAGTATTTTGTCGATCAGTACATTCTTTGACACATTCATTTTTTCTCCAACTGAAAGCTGCTATTATCCATTTCAAAATGGAGTGCATTCGGTTTTATGTTTGCTAACGCAAGAACGTTGGTATCGGAAAAGTTTGATCACTAGCCAATCACCGGATAAATAGTTCAAACATAAAAAAACAACATCAATCTGTGAAGTTTTGATTGTTCTTTCTGCTGGAGAAAATCGCAAGTTGTTAGCTGTTTTCGTTCTTGCGTTATTAAAAGATGCAACCGACTGCACTCTACTTTGCAATCAATAATAGTGGCACGTTTCACGTGTTCCTACTCGCATCAAAATCTTTTAAGGAGCTATCGATCCTTTGTTCTCTCCACACAGAAGATCAAGAATATTTCATAGCTCTACCACACATTACTAAAGATGTGCTTTTCTTCTATAAACATCAGAACCCAAAAGATTAAACAAATCATCTCATGCTAGTGCAAGTTATTCAAATATTGCGGAAATATTGCGATCACCATCTATTCTTAATCATCCTTTTGTTATGTCTATGTGAACATTTTTGGTACAGCTCCTCTTGTACCATTCCTTTAGCGGTTCATAATCAATAGATTGATTATACAGACGGAGACGTCACGAGCGCGAAGATGGAGGAGAAGCGGCAAGGTGATAGGTCCGGACTCCCGCTTTCGAAAAGTTTTCGATTTTCTCCAACTTCGCTGGAGAAAAATAAATTCGTTTTCTCTATTTTCATGACGACTACTACGAACTACTTCCACCTAAAATAAAGTTGATACTTCACGTCAGCCCTGCAGACAGGCATGAACATGAGCCCAATCGAATCGAGATGCAATCAAAAGGCTAGCACCGAGTGCACGGCATTCTGCTGACTAGATTGGGTATTCTCCTGCTAGCATGCCAAGGCGATCTCTAGTACTTGGGTACTTTCGAACAATCGTAGAGCACTTGAGTTCGTAAGCTGAACACCAACTTAAGAGCCGTCCAATGAAAATAGCAAAGACAATGTTAGGACCCATGCATCGTTAAAATCTAGTCTTTTTCGCTCGACATTATTATTCGAATCAGCAATGTGTAAAGTCTCTAAATTCAAATTTTTAACGCTTTTTATTAAGTTAATAAAACTTAAGGCTGCCTCAGCTTTTGACCAATAATGTTCATTTAAGTCTTAGATTTGTATAGTTTGCAATCTCTTCGCAGTCTTAGCCAGGGCCTTCGCCATAACCTCCTGGAAACCCAGCACCATACATTTGAGACTGGTCAACACCCCCGCCTTGAGCGTAGTTTGTACCAGAGACGTCAGGATGATCAAAACCTCCGCCTTGAGCGGAGTTTGTACCAGAGGCGTCAGGATGATCAAAACCTTCGCCTTGAGCGTAGTTTGTGCCAGAGGCGTCAGGATGGCCAAAACCTTCCCCTTGGGCATAGTTTGTTCCTTCAAGTTGGGGATAGCCTTCGTTTCCGTCATGGTCCCCGCGATGATCTCTTCCGTGTCCTTCGTTATCATTATTACCATCATCTCCACGGTAATCTCCGTGATGATCTCCTTCATGTCCTTCATCGTCGTGATTACCATCATCCCCACGATAATCCTCGCGATGACCTTTCCTATGCCCTTCATTGTCGTTATTACCATCATCCTCGTGATGACCTGTTTCATTTTCTTCATCATCATTATCGTCACAGCCTTCGCTGTGGTCTCCACCATGGCCAGTGAAATCGTCTATGGGTTCGTATTCATCTTCTACTGTAGTTTCCATGAAGTCATAGTTATCATCATCGCCCGGATCGTTGTTTCCGTAAATGTCATATCTAGCAAGGTAATTTTCTTCATCTTGCATTATCCATTGCTCTTTTCCCAAGTCGTTTTCCGGCGTCTGTTTAATAGTGTACAATGAACTGCATAAGTCCTTGTTTGTCATGTATGCATATGGAATATAACAATATCCTTTATCACCCTTACCACAAAGAAAAAGGAGGATTAGAGCCCATAGTATGTTCAAATGATATACAACATACCCAATCTGACCCCCAAGAATTACGAACGATAAAGGCTTGTGAATTGTCGCTGTAGCCAACCGCCAACATAGCATGGCTAGAAACATACGAAAAATGTAGCTTAACACGATTCGTCATACGACTATTTCAATGCGAAAACAACTGATAAAAGATTCAAATTCAGTCGGCAACAATGAATTCATTATGGATAAAGTTGAAATTGCTGATTAGGGAACCTATCATGCTATCCCATCGCTTTTGAGCTCATTTTTTGCACACGAATAAGATACTATGAGAATAGAGTAAATCTAAAAGCATTCGTGTGCATTTGCTTGTATTGTCCAGTTAGAGTCAATGCAAGAGTCAATTTTTCGACGAGAGACATCTTCTACGAGTAGCACATATTTTTCTGATTTCAACGAACAAGTTAGATAGAAACAGAATAATCTTTATATGAAAAGATAGAGAAAATAATTCTATCTGCTACAGGTAAAGCATAGCTCGAAAGACAGCCTTATGACTCCATTGTAGCCTCGATAATCTATTTCAGACAGCGGATTTTTGTACTTTACCTGCTCTCAATTGTAGCATTATGATTTCAGTAATATAGAAATATATGTAGTATACATAGTTCGATGGAGATTTAAAAAGTCTACAACTTTAATATTAATCCTGTTTTTCTATTTTTTACTTCTCTGAAACGATAACAGTGTTTTCTGTTGCTCATCAAAAGTAGGCAAGCCATAAGGCTATCCATCATCGCCCGAGAGAACTCTGTTTAATTTGTAGCTTCTATATTTGGAACGTAAGATCTATTCGACTTATACTCAAATCCAAATTATTAGGCCATTATTTATGGAAAATACAGGCTAACATACTGATTGACGGTTAATTTTAGTCTCCAAAAGTTGGCTATATTCGGGCATACACAATATTTTGTCACTATCGCTTGAAACATTTGATCATTTGAACTGGACAATGTCTTAAGCAATAGAGACTAATACAGGATATAAAATCAGTCGGATTAGATTGACACTGATGCTGTCCGTACGAACTCCTCAGATCATATACTTCAGAAAAATCGTGAAAGTTATTTCGCCGAAATGGCGACGTTGTGATATTTTCTCGTGCACAATAAGAGGGTGCAAGCTAAGTTTTTCAGCAGACATTAGATCTTGCCAAGAAACATCTATCAAGATGTCAATGTTTAAGAAGCAAAGTCGGAGATGGAGCTGCAGTCGATCACTCTCTCAGCTAGTCCACCTGATAAAAAATAGCTTTCCCATGTGAAACCATCAGGTTTGCTTGATAATGCGAAAGTAACATCAGATTTTTCAGAGGATTTCATAGTCAAGGTTCCTACATATCAGTCATTGCACGAGAGCCACCCGAACCGTGCTCAATTAATATTTTCTGATTTCGCTGAAAGCTACCCCGTTTTTCAGAGCTAGCATTTTTAGGAATATAGCCAAATCTTAAGGTCTAACGAATTAGTTTCGGCTGAGATATGATGATCTGACTAATGGCATCCAAAATAGACTTTTATCAATTTTATACATGTTTTTCAATCAAGTATTATACATGTATTTACGATGTCTCCTCACAAGGATGTGCTGGAATTCTGAAAATGTCATGGTATGTACATTTTGAGATAGGCAATCCAACCACCCTATTCACTAGACTCTAGTGACTAGAGTCTCAGTCATGACCACGTGCGACTGACATTTTCACTTCAGTTTGAATCTACTTATTATATATGAGGATCAAAAATAGTCTATGTTCGTGATAGACGCTTTTCAAATCAGTATTATAGAATTTTTTCAAACTTTTTTCCCAAACAATACAAATTTGGTGCTACTTGACTATGCTATTAAAACTTTGGGATATTGAAGTTTGACCCAACAAGCATTATCACAAAATAGCACTATCATTTACAATAGTATAGAGCGAAAAGGAGTTTGGATGATTTTGACATAATTAGAAAACAAAAGATGTTCACCATGAAGCTTTCAGGAATTATAGAGATTTTAGTTAGTAGTCACTCTTGTAAATTTCAGGTTGAGCGACAAAACCTTCATCCTATTTGGGTGTTCTATTAGATAAGCATGTTCTTGGCCTTTATGATTCAGGATTATGAAACTCAGCCGCCATGGTTGAGTGGTTACGTTGTTCAGCACGCACCCAAAAAGTACTGTGTTCAAACCTCAGTAACATCACCCATGGAATGACTCTGGACAAGTCACTAACGGCTAAGTTGTCTCTAATGACTCATTCCACACGAGTCATTCGTACTGACTATATATTTAGCCAGTATGCTAGACGGAAGAGGGTGCAGATACCGCCGTCTGTAAAAAGAAAAAGACGAAAGAACCCGGCTACATGTGGAAACTATTAATAATAACCACGGCCGGCCCCAACGGGTGATAAGCCTATGGGACGTTATTATTATTATTATTATGAAACTTATGATTCATTGAGTTTTGTCAGTGTTCTTACACGATTTTATAGTGGGTTTGTATACCATTCAATAGAGAATTTAGTGCTGAACAAAACCATATCATTCACTATAAGTTAAAATGAAAGAAATAACTAAAAAATTGAACATAGTCTTCACTAGACTTTCTGCATAGGAATCATTGTGTGGCGGATTGCGGCTATTGAGCTTATCCAAGTATTTTATATTTGGATGAAGGTTGCGTCATTTTGTAGACCTAAAGTTTTTAGGAGTAAAGTCAAATTTTTAGATCTAAAGAATGAATTGTGGATAAGATATGATGACTTGAATAATAACACCAAAAATAGCTTTTTATCAATTTCATGCGGTCTATTTCATGGAGTTTCTTATACGAAAAAGGAAAGTGCCTCTAAAGCGAGCAAGAGTTATCATATCTGCTAGAGCTTGAAGAATTGGATCGACAGTAAAATGAAGTCAGTTTACAACACCATTCCTGGATGGAGATCTAGGACACAAGTTTTGCTGGAAATAAGCATAATTCATAACGAAGATAAAATTTCAAATTTCACTAAATATTGTGATTTTAGCATGACTACTATTTAATGGACGAAAGTTAATACTGATTACAAACTCTTGTTTCTGAACATCTAGCGGATTTGCGCATGCGTCGCTTGATGACTTTGTTTCATCTAGTGAAAATTTTTTTCCTTTCATATTAGCTGTCGCTGTAAAATGATAGTGTTGAAACTCAATCTCTAGTAAGTCTCTTAAAATATATTCTGCAGTTTGTTGCCTAAGTGGCTTTGGTAAAGTGATCTTTGCTTTATCAAACCTTATATCATCAAAAAGGGAAAATTTTTCTGAAATCCTCTGTCAAACATAATTTTTTTTTGCACGAAAATTATATGATTTTGTTCAGTTTTTAACGCTCTATGCGATGCACTAGCTGATTTTGAGACTATTAGCATTTTTCAGTTTGCAATACTATTAGTTGCTCAGATTAACAAAAACTGGATTTAAAAAAGTGAATGCATAGGGGGTTAGAAATTTTGTTTTTCAAAATTTAGAGCATAAAATTCTGCATCGAATGGTATATGCTTGAACTATTTTCAGTAAAATCGCTTGGTAAAAGAAATGTAAATACTATAAATATTTTGAAATTATGTCTATTGGAGAAAAATTGTTTGCGCTATGACTTCAGTAAAACAGATCTGATCTTAGCATTTTTTTCAGGTAGCATAGTACTTAACAAGATATTTTCTAATATTAAAAGAATCATCTCTTCACCTATAAAGATGATTAAGCTAGAACAAAAATAAAAATATCTTCAAATTACGTCCACAATCTTATATTACTATAAGGGAGCCATCCGCCATTTTTTTCTCCATTTCTCCATCAAACAATAGTTTTTCAAGGAAATTTCAGGAGATTTCGTATCCTGTGTTAGTCTCTATTCTTTGAGATGTTGTTCAGTTCAAAATATCAAATGCTTCAAGAGATAGTGACAAAATATTGTGTATGCCCGAATATAGCCAACTTTTGGAGACTAAAATTAACCGACAATCAGTATTTTAGCCTGCATTTTCCATAAATAATGGCCTAATATTTTGGATTTGAGTACAAGTCGAATAGATCTTACGCTCCAAACGTAGAAGTTACAAATTAAACAGACTTCTCTCGGGCGATGATGGATAGCCTTATGGCTTGCCTACTTTTGATGAACAACAGAAAACGCTGTGATCATTTCAGAGAAGCAAAAAATAGAAAAATAGGATTAATATTAAAGTTGTAGAGTTTTAAAATCTCTATCGAACTATGTATACTACATATATTTCTATATTAGTGAAATCATAATGATACGATTGAGAGATGGTAAAGTACAAAAATCCGCTGTCTGAAATAGATTATCGAGGCTAAAATGGAGTCATAAGGCTATCTTTCGAGCTGTGCTTTACCTGTAGCAGTTAGAATTATTTTCTATATTTGTTCATATAAAGATTATTCTATTTCTATCTAACTTGATCGTTGAAATCAGAAAAATGCGCGCCACTCATAGAAGGAATCTCTCATCGAAAAAATGACTGTTGTATTGGCTCCTTCTAGGCAATACAAGAATATGCGCACGAATGCTTTTAGACTTAGTCTACCCTTATAGTATCTTATTCATGTGTAAAAAATGATCTCAGAAGCTATGAGATACCTCGAGAGATCCCCTCATAAAACAAAGAACGATGACTTTACCTGTGTTCGGAAGTTTTTGACAAGTTCGGCATGGGAACGGCGCCACCATTAGTCCCTGCCTTTTGAAATGATGGATACAAGTCAAGACCAAAGATAATGGGAAAGCCTTGAGCGAGACATGATCTCATCTCGTCGATATTTGCATCA